TTCACACAAATGCGCGTGAATGTTCAAATAGACACAAGTTATGCAAAATTGCCCATCTTTACAAGTAATTACATATTCACAACGGTTATGTCTTAAATGAACGTAAACAGTTGAGAGAAAATCTGATGTATATCAATATATTGGATCTATGCATTTTGTCTTAAAGTGAGAGCAGCCTAATATACCTGCTGCTGACTGTGTCATTAATGTTAATCAAATAACAAAAGAAAAAGTTTGATAAAACACAAAATTAAACAAAGCTTTCTGCATTTTTTTTTTCAGTCATGACAATCATCTGATGTCATATATAATATGGTAAGTGTACTGTCCTTATTATAAAAAAAATAACGGTTACACTTTATTTTAAGGTGTCCTTGTTACATTGTAATTATACATATAAGTACTGAGTAATATTAACTAACTACATGTACTTACTATATGGTTAGTGTTAGGATTTGGGTTTGGCTTAGGGTTACTTGCATGCAATTATGTATAATTAATTAATAGCAAATAAATAAAATGGTGAAATCCTGCTGGGACTGTTTGAGGCATTTGGTTCTTTACACCAAAAAAAGTCACACACACTTATAGTTTGAGCATCTGGGTAGACGTCCCACTCAGTGTGGTTTGCAGAATAGCTCGATTTGACCAAACAAACCTATCCAAAATCCTCTTTTGCATGAGAACAGCGGTTGTTGTATTTGCTTGACAGCTGGGATTGGAGGGCTTAGGTCACAAATTACCCAAAGTAAACTAACACCCCTTTTCCCTCGCACACAGAATTACACAGCACATCTGTCCCGCACAGCTGCCCTCACGCTGTCTGGTGCCAAGGCCAAGATTCATGCCCCAAAAGTGCTTGATTAAAATCTTATATAACACGTACTGCTTTTGGTGTCTCATCTGGAATCCAACATGCCTTAAATAGACACAAAGTTATGCAAAATTGCCCATCTTTGCAAGTAATTACATATTCACGACGGTTATGTCTTAAATGAACGTAAACAGTTGGGAGAAAATCTGATGTGTATCAATATATTGGATCTATGCATTCTGTCTTAAAGTGAGAGCAGCCTAATATACCTGCTGCTGACTGTGTCATTAATGGTAATCAAATAACAAAAGAAAAAGTTTGATAAAACACAAAATTAAACAAAGCTTTCTGCATTTTTTTTTTCAGTCATGACAATCATCTGATGTCATATATAATATGGTAAGTGTACTGTCCTTATTATAAAAAAAATAACGGTTACACTTTATTTTAAGGTGTCCTTGTTACATTGTAATTATACATATAAGTACTGAGTAATATTAACTAACTACATGTACTTACTATATGGTTAGTGTTAGGATTTGGGTTTGGCTTAGGGTTACTTGCATGCAATTATGTATAATTAATTAATAGCAAATAAATAAAATGGTGAAATCCTGCTGGGACTGTTTGAGGCATTTGGTTCTTTACACCAAAAAAAGTCACACACACTTATAGTTTGAGCATCTGGGTAGACGTCCCACTCAGTGTGGTTTGCAGAATAGCTCGATTTGACCAAACAAACCTATCCAAAATCCTCCTTTGCATGAGAACAGCGGTTGTTGTATTTGCTTGACAGCTGGGATTGGAGGGCTTAGGTCACAAATTACCCAAAGTAAACTAACACCCCTTTTCCCTCGCACACAGAATTACACAGCACACCTGTCCCGCACAGCTGCCCTCCGCTCTAGTCACGCTGTCTGGTACCAAGGCCAAGATTCATGCCCCAAAAGTGCTTGATTAAAATCTTATATAACACGTACTGCTTTTGGTGTCTCATCTGGAATCCAACATGCCTTGTAATCTTAAAGCTGCGCTATATTTGTGAGACTCTCTCCCTGTAGGAACAAAGAAACATTTAAGAAGCATTTTGTGGTTGGAGAAGAGCAAGAATAGCTCCATATGAAGACGCTGATGAAGAACATGAGATCAAGTATAATCAGAGCGTGAACCAGCTGGATGCAGAGATGATGGATCTTTAACAAAAAAAATAGAGCTTTTAATAGATACAGTATAGCAAATGATGATGATACATTTGATTAATTTTGCGCTTTTTTACAATTTACAAATAAAAAAAAATGTAAAAACAATAGATAAAATAAAACAGAAATAATGATAGTGCATTCATTTTTTTTTGTATTGAAAGTAAACATATTATACATATAAGTACTGAGTAATATTAACTAACTACATGTACTTACTATATGGTTAGTGTTAGGATTTGGGTTTGGCTTAGGGTTACTTGCATGCAATTATGTATAATTAATTAATAGCAAATAAATAAAATGGTGAAATCCTGCTGGGACTGTTTGAGGCATTTGGTTCTTTACACCAAAAAAGTCACACACACTTATAGTTTGAGCATCTGGGTAGACGTCCCACTCAGTGTGGTTTGCAGAATAGCTCGATTTGACCAAACAAACCTATCCAAAATCCTCCTTTGCATGAGAACAGCGATTGTTGTATTTGCTTGACAGCTGGGATTGGAGGGCTTAGGTCACAAATTACCCAAAGTAAACTAACACCCCTTTTCCCTCGCACACAGAATTACACAGCACACCTGTCCCGCACAGCTGCCCTCCGCTCTAGTCACGCTGTCTGGTACCAAGGCCAAGATTCATGCCCCAAAAGTGCTTGATTAAAATCTTATATAACACGTACTGCTTTTGGTGTCTCATCTGGAATCCAACATGCCTTGTAATCTTAAAGCTGCGCTATATTTGTGAGACTCTCTCCCTGTAGGAACAAAGAAACATTTAAGAAGCATTTTGTGGTTGGAGAAGAGCAAGAATAGCTCCATATGAAGACGCTGATGAAGAACATGAGATCAAGTATAATCAGAGCGTGAACCAGCTGGATGCAGAGATGATGGATCTTTAACAAAAAAAATAGAGCTTTTAATAGATACAGTATAGCAAATGATGATGATACATTTGATTAATTTTGCGCTTTTTTACAATTTACAAATAAAAAAAAATGTAAAAACAATAGATAAAATAAAACAGAAATAATGATAGTGCATTCATTTTTTTTTGTATTGAAAGTAAACATAACAGTAGAAAAACAAATGAGTTACACCAAAACCAGAGACAAACATATTTATGATAGTGCATTCAGAGACAATAAGCATCTTTAAAAAGATTCATCTTTAAAGACTTCTAAAAACAGTCTAGTGTTGGGGGAATTTCTAATCGCCAAAGGAAGTTATTCCACAACGGTGGAGCTGAAACAGAAGGCATGACCATCCATTGACTTCAGTTTAAATGCAGGCTGCTGAAGAGTAGAGGAGTCAGAAGAGTGGAGAGAGTGAGTTGGAGTGTAAGGAGCAACTAGATTACAGAGATATGCCGGAGCTATCCCATGAAGAGCTTTATATGTTAAAGTCAATATGTGCTCGTACTGGAAGCCAGTGCAGTTCATAAAGAACAGGGGAAATATGCTGGCGAGCGGTTGTGCATGTCAGTAGACATGTGGCTGAGTTTTGAATAGACTGCTTGATATACTTGTCAGGGAGACCCGAATAAAATTATGTCATGATTATGGCCCATCATTTCAGTTTTGTCTCTGAAACATTCATGACAGGATGATTTATCCCCATAAATCTCTCTCTATCTCTCATTCATGATACTGTGCCTTCTGCACAGCAGGTCAGACAGCAGCATTATTGGTTGATCAGGGTCATGACCTCTGACTCCAATCAGCTTTTTCATAACCATGTTGTTGTTGTTGGATCCTGGGGAGAAGGAATGGGATGGAGCATCGAATAATGATATAAGTAGGAATATTTGTATAGATATGTTTATTCGTGTGTAAGAATAGAAAAAAGCAAAAACAAGGAAGAAATTGACAATTACAAATAAACCATGACTGCATAACAGCAAAAGTAGATGGCAGTATGCACACAGCATGCAGCGCGCCAAAAAACGGAAGAAGATGAACGGAAATGACGTGTTACGCAATATTACGTTCTCATGCTCTGTTGACTGTCAGCTGCCGCTTTCGTTCGCACGTGGAAGTTGCATTTCCAGTGAGTTTTTAATGTAATACAACAAGTTGTTTAATTTGCTTAGAGTAATATTGATATGCAGAGCGCTTGACGATCCTTCTGACTTGTGGTTTATAGAGTTTAGTGCAGCGCAGTTAATCTGACGGTGTTGTTACTCGATGATGGCAGTGCAGACTACAACTAACGTGACAGCTATTAGTTCATAAATCAAGGAGCATACGCATATGAGATAATGAAATATGCTTTTGCGTTTTATTTGTATAAGCAACGTCTGTGTGTAAATATTTCATTTTTAGGTGGTTTTGACTAAAATGCTCCCTGAAAACATTACTACTTTTATTTAATTAAGGTCATTACTTTTTAGTTCATATATCATCATGCTTAGGAGACATTCAAGAAACAAATGCTAAACATATGCATCTCATTATCTCACATGTATTTTATTTATATATGTAACAACTTATTATCTGAAATTGTAATTGTAATCTATTAAATTATCTGAGTGAAATTATATATATTATAATTTTTTTTTTTTTAAATAATATAAACGATTATTTCCATAATATTTATTTTATGGAAATAAATAAATAAAAGAATACATTAATAATTTACTAATTTTGTATTATGAAAATAGATTACTATGCTAATTTGTATGTATATATATATATATATATATATATATATAATTAGGTAAATATATTATATATGTAATGTCTAAGTAAATATTATTCTACTTTTTAGGTTTGGGCATGGTTTTGTCTTAATACCCCATGACAACAAAGTTTTGTGACTTTAAGTCTAAGTCTCTTGTAGCTTTGATAACTTAGGTATGCTAGTGTTCTCCTAAAAATCCTGCACTTGGCACATTGTATGTCTGATGTTAGAAACAAGTTTCTAAAAGTTCGATTTCTCTCTTTTCTTTTACAGATTTTCCCTTCCTCATGTTCGCGACATGTAGGGAATTTTCTGGAAGACTTTTCCATTTAGGCTTCAACCTCAGCTGTAGCATCTCCTTCAAAACCAGCACGTTTCACCCTATTGCACAGCTTTCTACTTCACATTGTTTGTTTCCCCATCACCCCCTTCTATCGACATCCCGTTTTCCTGTACTCAGGTCTGCTAGAGTTATTCGTTACCTTTCCGATTTCACCCATCCTACTGCATACATGGATTTAAAGGGAGTGCTGGAGGTTCTCGAGCAGCTCGCTCCACTCTCATTGGCTGAATCGTGGGATAATGTCGGGCTGTTGGTGCAGCCCAGCAAACCCCGTCCAATCAAATCAATCCTGCTAACCAATGACCTGACCACGGCCGTCATGGACGAAGCTGTAGCGATGAATTGCGACCTCATTGTCTCATACCACCCGCCACTCTTTCGCCCTTTCAAGCGCTTGCTTCAGAAGGACTGGAAGCAGCGGTTGGCTGTCAGAGCAATAGAGGGCGGTATTGCCATTTTCTCCCCGCACACTTCATGGGACAGCGTTGAAGGTGGCGTTAATGATTGGCTAGTTGGAGGAATGGGTAAGAACACGTTTTTTCTTTAGTCTTGGTCAAAAGAGTCAGATATTTTTACTTGTTCCTCTATCTGCAGGAAGCGGGAAGGTGTCGGTATTAAGTCAAGCCCACTCTAGCGGCCCGCAGAAACACAGGCTTGAGTTCTTCTGCGTGAACAATGAAGAACTAAACAGTCTTTTGGAGCAGCTAAGACACATAGAAGGCAGTGAAAACTTCCAGTGCTCCGCATTAAGGTAAGCATACCTTTGCATATAATCATGTACATTAATACATTGGTATCCATTCAAACAGTGCTCCATATTGATCTTCAGAAATGAAAGTGGAGGGCAGCAGGTGAATCTCATCTTTAACAGTTTAGCGCTGACTGCTGCGGTGCAGATTCTGGTTTCAAATCCACATGCCAGCAGATCCCTGAACATCACACAAGTCCAACAGGTGAGTCGACATCAACACTTTCATCTCTACAGATTGTTATTATTTTGGTATCTGTCATACTAGTCATCTTTGACCTGTAAGTAAATTATTACTTCAGTAGGGCGCATTCAGCAAGCACGCATTAAATTGATCAAAAGTGACAGTAAAGATATTTATAATGTTACAAAAGATTTCTATTTCAAATAAATTGTTCTTTTGCTTTAAATTTTTAAGTGCAATCAAGTTGCAACTTCGTGTTAAGTGCACTGAACTTCATTTGACCACGTTGAATATCAGGTAGAAGATACTGAGACAATTTTGACAAACTTGAGAGAAATTGATATTTTTATTCAGCAAGGATGCTTCAGATTGATCAAAAGTGACAGTAAAGTAATTTATCGTGTTACAAAATATTTCTATTTCAAATAAATGCTGTTTTTGAATTTTCTGTTCATTAAAGAATCCTAAAAAAGATTTATCATGGTTTCCACAAATATATCAAGCAGCACAACTGTTTTTATCAACACTGATAATAATCAAATGTGTCTTGAGCAGCAAATCAGCATATTAGAATGATTTTTGAAGGATCATGTGACACTGAAGACTGGAGTAATGATGCTGAAAATTAAAGGCAGGGTATGTGATTTTTCAAAAACACTTTAGAAAACTGATTCGGGCCGAATAGCAAAACAAACTTGTAGCCAATCAGCAATAAGGGGCGTGTCTACTCGTGATGTGGAGGAGAGTTTTCAGTGCATGGGACGGACATTAGCCGAGCCGAGCGACAGAAAGATAGAGATGGCGGATAAAAAACAAAAGAGGAAAACGTCTGCGGAACGATAAGGCAAAGAAGTAGGATCAGCAAGAAACATTTCTTATTATCAATGTTGTGCAAAACAGTTCAAAACAGTTGTGCTGCTTCAGATTTTTGTGGAAACCATGATACGTTTTATTTTTTCATGATTCCTTCATGAATACAAAGTTCAAAAGAACAGCATTTCTTAAAAAAACTTGTAGTATTTTTTCTGACTTCAAACATTTAATGGTAGTATACATAATATTTAAAGACTTGTTTAACTCATCGTAGTTAATTAGTAGAATAACTCGTATTTTAAATGTATTTATGCTGATTTTATATTTAAAGTGTGGGATGGGGGAAACAATCAAATCTGTACGCAGAAGTCATTAATTGAATGCATGGTGAAAAGTTTCCAAGACAATTTTAAGGTAACCTTAATGAAAAAAGAAAGATTTTAAATCTTTGTATTGAGTAAAAATCAACCCCTGGGATGTAAAAGTGCTCAAAACTAAAGAAATGCCTGTGTCTGTTTTTGTCTTGATGTTTCATGTCCTCTGTTGTCAGTGGCTGAATGAAGAGAGGCTGATCCAGAGACTCGTTGAGCTGATACACCCTCACAGCGACAGTGAGGTCAGTCACTGCAGTTTTACATCTTCACAACAAAGTTTAATACCTAGAGTGAAGCATTGATGAATAGTAGTGATGCTTGATCTTGGTACTGAAAAAGTCCTCATGCAACAAAAATGTTTAATTCCATCTTTCAAATATATATCAATAAATATGAATGAAGACCTATATTCATAAATGTGTTTGTGTGTTCACAGACGCAGTCGAACGCATCTCAGACGCTGTGTGACATCATCCGTCTGAGCAGAGATCAGGCCAGTCTGCTGCAGGAGACGTCAGAGACCGACCCTCTGCTCACAACACTAGAGCTGTGAGTGTGTGTGTGTGTGTCGTCTCTTTCACTGCAAACTGTGCTTGGTCACGTTTCATGTCAGCTAGACGGTGTCTTGAAACTTTAGCTAGGAATAGTTCAGAAACCTTTCACCCAAAAATGAAAATTATCTGAAACCGTGCTCGTCTTCAGGCCTTCCGAGATGTAGATGAGTTTGTTTCTTCATTGGAACAGATTTGGAGAAATGTAGCATTACCTCACTTGCTCACCAATGAATCCTCTGCAGTGAATGGGTGCCGTCAGAATGAGAGTCCAAACAGCTGATAAAAACATCACAGTAATCCACACGACTAGTCTTGTGAATCCTCAAAATTTACCAACATATTTTATGTTTTGGACTGTTTTCGCTTGTTTTGTGCATATTTTTCTCCTGATTCAGATGAGACAACGTTTTTACTGAAGAAAACCATATTATGGATAGAGGACTTGCATTTTTCCTGAAAGTGATGGTTTGAAGTTAAAAACATCTAAATGATGGATTTGTTTATTACAAACACACAGCTTTTCACTTTCCAAAATGTTAATTGATGGACTGGAGTGGTGTGGATTACTTCTGTATTATTGTGATGGTTTTTAGCAGCTGTTTGGACTCTCATTCTGACGGCACCCATTCACTGCAGAGGATCCGCCGGTAAGCAAGTGATGGAAATCTAAATCTCGCTGCTATGCGTGTGTGTTTCAGACAGCAGAATGTCGAGGCACTATTGAAGAACATGTTTGAAGGGGAAAAGAGTGAAGTGTGCATTGTCAATGGAACTCAAGTTTTACTCACACTGTTGGAAACTCGTAGACCAGGGTGAGTAACACAAACACAAGACATATTTCATCTCGCATTCACTGTTACTAATGCGTGTGTGTTTGTGCGTAACAGTGTTGAGCAGGTGATTGACCTGTGCTCTCAGGGATTGGAAAAGTCTTACACTGTAAACAACAGCATTTTAATGGGCATCCAACCACATCTAAAGCACTTCCACCACCTTCTGTTAAACCCACCCAAGGTTGGTCTGTTCCTGCAGTTTTATCACAAGTCTTAAAAACAAAACGAAATCACTGAAAGATGTCATATTGAAGATGTTTCGACTCTCTGTGCTCAGAAATGTGTGATGTTGACCACGATGGGCGTTCTGGAGGAGCCGTTTGGCAACGCGCGACTGCATGCATCCAGACTGATGGCTGCTCTTCTGTACACCAGAGCTCCCAGAATCCACCTCGAGCTCTGCCAACTGAACATGATCAACCTGCTGCTGGTATTAGTCATTCTTAGTCTAGTCAACAAATAAATAAAATGTTTTCTTTCTTAGGTCCTATCATTTTTTTTTTATTTAAAATGTTATATTTGAATCTTTCTGGGTATTAAGACTCTTCAGACAGTATTTCCATGATAATGTTATTAGTTTCATTTTTGTGTTGTAAGAAATTATTTTATTTATTTATTTATTTATATATTTAAATCACACTACTGTTCAAAAGTTAGATTTTTTTATTTTTAAAGAAATAATACTTTTATTCAGCACGGACGCTTTAAATTAATCAAAAGTGACAGTAAAGATATTTGTTACAAAAAGTTACAAATGATTTATATTTCAAATAAATGTTGTTCTTTTGATCTTTCTATTTATCAGACAAGACAAAAAAAGTATCATGCTTTTTTCAAAAATTAAGCAGCACAACTGTTTTCAACATTGTGTCTTGAGCGTCTTGAGCAGCAAATCAGCATATTAGAATGATTTTTGAAGGATCATGTGACACTGAAGATGATGCTGAAAATTCAGCTTTGAACACAGGAATAAATTACAGTTTAACAGATATTCACATAGAAAACAGCTGTTTGAAATTA